TATAAAAAAAAATCAATTTTTATTTTTGTAATTATCCAACCGCAACCGCAAACGCTCGATGGAAGCAGATTTTGGATTTGAAAGGTTTGGAGCGACGCGGAGTCACGGAGCAGTATAAGGCGTTTCCCATGATTGTTGTCAAACGCCAAAAACCGCTACCGTCCGCTAACGCAGCGTTTGCGGATGATAGCGGGTGAATCAATCAACCCCTAAGTTATTGATTTTTGTTTTTTTGGTGGTTGGTTAATCATTAATGTATGGTAATGGTTTACTAATTACTATACCGGAGCTAATTATATTTGATCTTTGTTTTGTTTAACAGATTTGCTTTAAAAGTAAAGAAACAGAGTCATAAACAGAGGAGAAGAAGATCTTAAACAACTCTAGGTAGCTTTTTAACTCAAATAAGGGTAATTCTTCTCTTCTTAAACTGTTTTATGACTGATCGTATAGGTAGCTTTAACACATATAGGGCGAATGAAATATGTCTACGCTTTAGGTAGTATGTAGGCATAACACACAGTACACATCCACAATCTCTTCATTGTCCAAAATTTGTAGGGAAAATATTTTAAATTGTCGGATTAATTATCGAAACTTAAGTGAATTACATTATCAACTAACAGAATATGGCATCCCGTCTTTTGATCATTAGTATTATGTTCAATTTGTCTTCTCACTTTTATGTAATCACTTGGTTTCTAGTTGATTTGATGTTAAAAGTTTTTTTTACTATCTCACACTTTAATCAAAACTTTTTAGATTGTCTCATTATTAGATGTATTTAGTCTAAATTTAGGGGATAAATTTTAATTGTTGGATTAGTTACCGAAATTTGAGTGAACTGCATAATACTGAAAATTAACCGAACATGACATCATGTCTTTTGATCGTTAGCGGTAGCATGTTCAATCTGTCTTTTCATTGTTATGTAGTCACTCGATTTTTAACTAATTTGGCGATTAAAGTTTCTCACTCTCACGGTCTCACTCCTCAACCCAAACCTTGTAGATTGCCTCATGAATTAATAACACATTAGATTTATTTAGTCTAAATATTTTTTTGGAGAGAGCTTTTAAATTGTTGGATTAGTTATCGAAATTGAGTGAATTGCGTAATGATAAAAACTAACCGAACATGACATCTTGTCTCTTGATCGTTAGCGATGGCATGTTCAATTTGTCTTTTCATTGTTATGTAGCCATTCTGTTTCTAATTAATTTGGCAATTAAAATTTCTCATTCTCCCACCCCTCAACCGAAACCTTGTAGATCGTCTCCCTATATTAGATATATTTACTCAAAATATCCTTTTTAGGAGAGATTTTAAATTGTCAAATTAATTACTAAAACTTATATAGGTAGCATAATAGTTAAAACTAACTTAATATGATACTTTGTCGTTTGATCATTAACAATGTTTGATCATATTCAGTTTTTCTTCTTACTATTGTTTGTCTTCTCACTATTAGTATAACCACTACATTTCTAATTAGTTGAACGATTAAAGTTTCTCATTCTCAACACGATCTAAACTTCTTTGGGAGACTACTCAAAGTTGTATATATTTAGAAACAAAAGTGAACTGCAAATATTTATACAAAGATAAGTGATTAGAATTGGTTTGTCACAAGATCAAATAAATCATTCAGTTTAAAACCAATTTGACAACTAAAAAACTAAACGGAAAATAAAAAAGCTTCTTGATGAAGAACTCAAAAGTTTTTTTTACGAAACACATTTAGTCCGTTAGATTCATTCTAATGTGTGACTGGTTAAGCTTAAACGTTTAGTATTTAATACCCAAATGCTTTTGAATTTCGAAACGGCGTATCGAATACGATATCAAATACAATGTACATTTTTTAAGATTATTTTGTTCAACAATTCTTTTGTTTAGTTTAATATTTGGTGTAAGAAAAAAGAACTCAACGGTATATGATCGTGACTAAATAATTAAAAAAACATTGTAATGATGATGATGGTTAAATTTTCCTCTTCTTCTTTTGTAGAGTATAATTTATGGTTAAATTTACAATATTTATATTTGTGGACACACACAAGACACAACACAAGATAACCCAATCCATTAATCAAGGCGTGAAGACATAAGTAGGTGCTAAGTGTCGACTATTGACCGAGTCGTTAAGGAAATTAAAAACACACACAACCATAATAATTAAAGTAATTAACTAAACTGAACTTAAATTAGATTAAATAATAACCTCACGGTCTTGGTCTCTTCATGCCGTCAAATTTAATTCCTTCTTAACAAAAGAAAAGTTGACGGTGGGTCCACCACCGTTATATTTGCGGTTAACCGACGCGGATTCCTTCCAATCTATAACCCGTTAATCGTACTCCACGTGTCGAAGTCACCACGTGGCACGAGATGACCAATTTAAGAGACACTATTTAATTGTAAAAGAAAACATGCGAGGTGGGACCCACGTTTGGGTTATTTAACGGAAGGGCGGCTACTTTTGCTTATGTCACCTAAAAATCAGTCAAACGCATAACGCTCTGTAACGCGCGACTGATGAAACGCCTCGTGTTGACGGTAGTGGGACCCTTTAGACGTGAGAGTCACGCGTTTACATTAAAACGCGGTTCCTTAGCCGCGCGTCCTCGTGATTGTGCCACGTTTGCAAATTCTCTCAGCTTTTGATGCGCCGCTGCTTCAAATTCATTGAATTAATTTTTTTTTAAAAATTTTATAACAGTTGTTTTGTCCGTAATTTTCCAGATTCTAATGCCAATATCTGCATCTCTTTAATAACCTTTTAATATGTTGCCAATTGTTGTTGCTTTATAAAAAAAAATTATTAAAAAAAAGTTTTTTGCTTTTTCTTGGATAAATCATACTTACTAATAAGTTTGTAATTATCATGGGATGCTAACGAGTAACGATCACTATGATTAAGGTAAGGAACTGCGGAAGATTACATGACAAAAGAAATTGGGAAAAAAGAAATTGGCATTAGGCTTTAATTGATTGATACTGTAATTTAGTTTCGCATATATATGTTTGTGTATACTTAAAATTGGATTTATTTGATAATATTATAATTAGTATCTTCCCTTCTCCAAAATATAACATTTCTTAGTTTATGTGAATCACTTACTAATTAAAACTTCTTGCATGCAATGCAATAAAGAAATATATTTTCACTTTAAAAAAAAAAAAAGAGAAATTTCAAAAAATACCACTTTTCAAGTGTCACTTTACAAAAATGCCACACTTTTGAAATCTTTATAAAAATACCATTTTTTCAAAATA